ATATATATATATATATATATATATATATATATATATATATATATACAAATTTTGGCCCAATTCTATATTTTACAACTAATAATAATAATAATGACAAGATGAAACAAACAAAATGTTTTAATATAAAATAACCTTTATTGACTATTATTTAAATAATCATTGTCATTAATTTAAAAATTTATGTTTCAATTAAAATCTGACCATTTTCAATTTTTTTTGTTAAAATAGATTACCTACCGGTAATTATAATTATTATAATTTTTTATATATATACATAAAATGGGAGATATTCCTGAAATGCATCATGTATTTTTTCTTTAATTTTTTAATCTTATTTTATGAACTCATCTGTAGATGTTAGTCTGTGAACTCTGCTCAGATCCTCAGAGTTCTGGTCCATGCAGCTCCTCACCTTGACTGTTCTTCAGGACTTCATCTACGGTGGCCCTGTAGGTCATAAAGTCTCCTTCTGCTGCTGAGGACTTGACCGTCACCTTGTAGGCTGCAAGAGGAAACAAGAGCAGGTTTAGCTGCAGGTTCTGAAGGTCCAAACAGTCTGAGCACATCGGGAGCTTCACATTCATCACCTGGAAAACAAACAATGCTCCTGCTCGATGTGAGGAGTGAAAAATAAATAAATAAAAATAAATGTGAACGTGCACGATGGTTTCATGATGTCACTTTAAATGTTTGCCCTGAAACATTTCTCCTCAGAAGCTTCCTCTGACCTTCCAACACCCGTCCATCATTTCTTAAATCCTGACCCAATGGTCCAGAACCCTCCCCGCAGCATGATGCTGCCACCTCCGTGCTTCTCTGTGGCGGCCGCCTCTTCTGGCTGTTTGACTCAGCCGTGAATCAGAAGTAACCCAGAGGGTGAGACCTTTGACCTCTTTCAGCAGAACCATGTTTTAATAAATCCTCTGACCGTATTTGATGTGAGGTTTGCAGGTTTCCTCCGTCCGTTTTTCTGCTGTCAGCGTGTTGTCCATGTTTCCTCTGTAGGAGGCGCACGCAGCTGCAGAACACAAATATTTTACAGAACCAGAACCGACCCGTCGGCTGAGACGTTCAGGAGTCAGAACCGGCAGTTACCTGTCATGCACTGACACTTTTCAGCCACACAGAGGCGCTGCAGCCTCGGCTGCTGATCAGAGAACTGTTTGACGCACAGGCTGCCTGCAAGACAGAACGCAGGGTTCAGGGTTCCTGCACAACTTGTGCCTGTTTGTTAAAGTAAACAGGAAGTTCTCCTGAATTTACAGATAACAATCTGTTCACAGCTTGAATATTTATTTGGTCTTCAAGAGTTAAAAACTAGAAGGTGATTTGGTGAAAAAAAAAAAACATTAAATTACATCAGACTACAAATCCCAGGATGCAATGCAGACTCAGCCTCTCACCTCTATCCTGTGGCTCTGTGACACTTAACAGGGACTTTGTGGCTCCGATCACCTTGAACCTGGTTCTGACCCGAAAACTGACGCACAGGAAGATGTCTGAGGGAACCTGAAGGTAAAGCAGGAAGTCAGACAGGAAGTAGAGAGGTTCTTTATTCAGACAGGAAGTCAGGCAGGAAGTAGAGAGGTTCTTCATTCAGACAGGAAGTCAG